CAGCCTCAACCTGGGTACTTGAAAATCGCTGTCCCAGAAGTCTCTGCTGTCCCTGGAACTGCAGCCTAACACCCCACTCGGTCCCCTGCCCCAAGTACACTGACCCCGCGGCCCCGGGTCACCAGGCCCCACGGCGGCGCGCGGCTCGCTTGAATCTGCCCACCTGTGAAATGGGCAGAGAAGAAAGGGCCCTCCTCACTTTTGGTGAGAAGTCGAAGAGTTAATGAACGCTGAGCGCTCCGCGGCGCCTGGCCTGTAGTGTGTGTTCAATCCGTGTTATAAATAACAACGACGACGGGCGCTTTCGCTTTTAGCTCGCCTGGGGGGGCCGACGCCAGTCGAACCTGCAGAAGGCCGACTGCACCTGCAGACAAGCTCGTCCCAGGCGGCCTGGCATCACCAGAAGGAAGCCATGCCAGGGAGACCCGCTAGCCCGCGCAGGGCAGTTCTGCCGGGCACATGGGGAGTTGGGTTCACACCCGGGGCCGCTCCCGGGCTGGCTAGAGACGGGCCTGGCCGCGCAGGGCGACCTCGAGTCCCCTCGGTGGCCCGGAGGAATGATGGTTCCCTGAAGCAATCAAGTCCCCACAGCAGCCTGGGGAGGTCCAGCCCCAGGCTCCCGCGCCCGCTCCGGGGTGCGGGCAGAGCCGGGTGGGCCGTGGAGGGCGGGCGGCAGGGTGGCGGGGAGTGGGGAGCTGGACCCCACGTGCGCCTCCTGCAGCCGCTTCGCAGAGCCCTTTGTCGCGAGCAGCCGCGTTCGTGCCGCACTCGGCGGCTTAAAATAAAGACAATGTTCCCAGCCTCCCTGCGGCTAAATCGGGCGCGGGTGCGGGGGTGGCGAGCGAGCCGGGCGGGAGCGCTTCTCCCGGTCCTCCCTCCCTTCTCCCCTCCGGCCTCAGTTTCCCCCATCTGGAAAGGGGACCTCGCCAAGTCCGGGAGTCGGGAGGGGATGGAAGTGAGAGCAAGCCTACCAAGGCGTGGAGGGAGTGTCGTCCCCTTGCCGGGGGACTTGAAGAGGACATCGCTTGGGACAGTGGGGGGGGCGCTCGGGAGGAGGCAGGGGGAGCTGGACGCCCTCCTCTCCCGCCCACAAAATAAGTGTTTTTATTTCTGAGGGGACGTGTGCAGAGGCGGTGGGAGAGGAGAGAAAAGGGGGCCGGGGAGATGGGAAGGGGGGGTGGGCAAGAAGGGAGCCTGAATCAGACTCGGAAATGGATGTCGAATGTGGAGGCCTAACGCCCCCACCCTCAGCCACGTGTACGCGCACAAGTGCACGCAGCCCAGCCGCGCGCGCGCGCGCGCACACACACGCGCGCGCAGCCGAAGCCGCAAACCGGGACAGCCCAGCAGGGGGCAGCGCGAGGCCGAGCCCGCGGACCGACAGGGCCCGCAGGGACCCGATCCTGGCCCTGACCCGCGGAGCCGCTCAGGTTCTTCTGCAAGCTCAAGGGTCCCCCAACACCCCCCACCATCAGAAGGGAGGAGAATGACTGCTAGTTCAAGCCCCAGCTGGCTCTGAGAAGCCGCGATGCCCCCACATGGACCTGCCACGTGTGCCCACGATTGACTCTGTGTGGCTGCCGGCCAAGCCCCAGGCGCTCTGGTTTCTGCTCTGCCTGGCTCCATGGGCAACTGGGCTCTGGGGTGAGGAAGCCCCAGGTCACCCTCAGGCAACAGCAGTGGGGGTGGGGGGGGATGCTGGAGCGGGGAAGGGACAGTGCAGGAGGGGAGGGGCGAGCAGTCCCAGGCTCCAGACCCGGGCTTAGCGTCCAAAGGTCCGACTTGGGTCCCTTGCTCAGTTTGCTCATCTCTGTAATGGGAATAATCGGGGATCCCAGTATTTCCTTCCTTCCCAGTAGGACAAAGGCCGCAAGCCCCTGTGGCCTCCCCCCTCTCCGCCATGGCCAGCTCCGCAGGAGGTCTCTGGGGCCAGGGAGAGCAGGCCAGTACCCAGGTCTCTATGGCAAAGGGCGCCCCAGGGGTTCTATCTCTGGGGAAACGCAACACCAAATCAGAAATCCAAACCAGTGGGGGCGGGCAATGCTGGCCTGAGGGAGGTGGGGAGGAAGGGCAGGTGCGTCACTTCCCAGGTACACACCTGTGCGCCCTGAGTGGGAGTCAGGGGAGACAGAGTTTGACAAGCTGGGAGGAGAGCTGTCTGTCTGCCTGTCTGTCTGTCTCCCAAGTGGAAGCTGGGGGTGGAGCAGGCAGGGTGGCAGAGGCTGCCTCACTTCTCAGAATTAGCAAGTCCCACAGTTGGGCAATACTTAGACACCTACCCAATAAAGAGGCACGTGTATACACACGTCCTGGCCCCAGAACGATGGGACCACCCCTGCTCTGACACAGGCTGGGGGGAGGGGGCAACAGTGCACCCAGGGTCTCGAGTGCGCCGCGAACACACACATGTACAAGGCACTCAGGGCAGGGAGCGGGCCCATGGCCCCCCAACCACCAGTCCCCTGCAAACCCAACCCCACCGCCCCCCTCAGACCAGACCGGGAGCTCACTGCCCAGCCCTCAGGCATGTCCCGCTCTGCGTCGGGGCCAGCACGCCAGCCCTCTGGGTCTGTTCCAGGTTAGAGCCTATCACGTGAGGCCCAATGTGTCATTTCCAAACAGAAGGAATCCAGCTCCTTCGCTGCGCAGCGGGAGGAAGAGCAGGGAGTGTGGCTGGGTGGGTGGGTGGGAGCGTGGGCACGTGCAGGGGAAGGGTGTGTTCGAGGGAAGCAGGCGTGTGAACAGCGGGCCATGTGTGTTGGGGCACGGTGCCTAGGGCTGGGGGATTTGGGAGGGAGGGGGCTAGGGGAGACAGTGTGCCTTTGTCAGAGAGTGTGTGTGTGTGTGCGCGCGCGCGCGCGTGCCCGAGAGAGTGAGCAAGCTCGAGCTGCAGGGTGTGTGTGTCTGTACAGTGGGTGTGGGTGTTTGTCTCCCAGTATCCGCTTTCTCTCCTGTCCTGGACTTTCAGCCTTCCTGGGTTCGCCTTCCTCCTGTCCTGCCCCCTCCCTCTCAGGCCTCAAATTGGGTGCCCTGGTGGAGGAGGGGGCACACTCCAGGACCCAGTCCAACCCCAGACACCCGCCTGAGGCTTCCCCCCTGCTCCCCCGCCCTTCCTCTCCTGCCTTTTCTCCCTCCCTCTCCTTCCCTTCCTCCCTCCCCCCCCCACCAGGCTGGCGTGCCAGGGGGTGGGACATGCCAATCACTGGCTGTGCCTCTCCTGCTGCCAGCACAGGGCACAGCTCCCCCCGGGAGCCAGGTGTTTGGGTCCCTGGAGACGCAGCCGGCCCCCAGGGAGGCAGTGGAGCTGAGGACCCCAACAGACCCTCTCCAGGCCCATGTGAGTAGATTTGGAAGGACTGGGGAGCGGCTCGCTAAGGTGGGGGCTGGGCAGCGGCCAGGATTAGGAGGAAATGGGGGTGGACCCCAGAATGAGGAGGGGGCTAGGAAGGGGGTCCCAAGGCCAAGGGGGCTCTGTGCCATTGGATACTGGTGGCTCCGACGCCCACTCTCCTGGCTTGGCATGGCTACAGCTGATGCTTTTCTGGGGCTCAACTGGCAGAGGAGCTGGAGACCCCCTTCGGAGTCTGAGCCTGGAGCAGGAGGGCGTTAGGCTGCCATGCGTAGCAGGCAGAGCCCCCATCACCCCAGAGGGCAGGGTGGGAGGGGCAGGGAGCCAGCAGACAGCCCTGGCCACCAGCATCCTGTGGGAGGTTGAGTTTTCTTCATTGGGGAGCCAGCCCCAGATCCACCTCCTCTCCTCCCTCAGGGCACGCTGAATCCCACCACCCCCAGCGACCTCCGGTACCCCCAGGATGGACTGAACCAGGCTGCTGGCCAGACGGACGCGCCGGATGCCAAGGTGGGTGTCGGGCCAGGAGCCAGCAGGAGCCCAGGCCAACAGCCCTAGGGCTCTCCGGGGACAAACGGGCACATGGGTGGCCACGCCATCCAGGTAACGTGGCCCTGGAGTGTGCAGGGACTCAAGGAAGCCCTCCAATGAATCTCAGGCTTCCGTGGGGTGGGTCGGGGTCCTTTGTCTGGCTGCCCACCCTGTGCCCCCTGATGCCCACAATATGGGGATGGGCTGGGGGCCAGGTATACTGACTGACTCTTGCAGCAGGGCCAGCTCCTGGGATGGCACTTGGGGAGGGTGCTGTCTGCATCCACCAGCTCATTCCAACAAGCGCCGCTTAGGAATTAATGGTGTCAGAGGACAGGGGTTCACCTCTTCCCACAGAACACACCTGCCGCTCCACCCCAGCTGACCCAGGGCCACCTGTTCACCTGCCCAGAAGGAGTCAGGCTGCCTGCTGCAGCCAGTCTCTGTCCCTAAGTAATCTGTTGGCCACTGAGCTGTCAGATGAGTCGTCCCTGCCCCCTGACCTCAGCGACTAGGCAGGTCACCATCCCGTTGGACCACAGATCTATCACCACCCCTGATGAGATGGAGGGACAGGGAGGGTTCAGAGAGATTGGTCTGCGGAGGGCCCAGGGTTTAGCTTCCCAGCTGGGGGCTGAAGGTCTGAAAAGTGGAGCTCAGAAGGGTCATGGGGGTACCTGGGGCATCAAGAGGGAGCGAGACAGAGGTCTGACCAGAGCTGGAAAGAGCTCCCCATTGTACAGATGGAGAGACTGAGGCTGGGGACGAGGGAGGAACCTGCTCCTAGTCTCAGAAGGGTTTGGACCCCCGTGAGTCTCGGCGCCTTTCAGAACAGGATGGTGGGGGAGAGGCTGGGGGAGCAGCGAGCTGGGTGAGGCAGGAGAGGTGGGTGAATCCGGCTGGGTTTCTGCTCTGCTGTGGTACCATGGTGATGTGGCGCAGGGTGGGGGGAGGGAGGAGAGAGGCAATGGGGAGGGGACTGTGAGGAGCCAAGAGCAGGGGATAGGCAGAGTGGAAGGTGAGCAGGCCAAGCACCCTGATGCCACACTGGCGGGATCTGGGCCGAGGTGGGCACTACTAGGCTCTGGCCAGAAGTCTGAAGTCTGCAGCCGGCAAAGGTCCCTCAGCCGTAAGCTGCTTTGACAATGGTTCTGGAGCTGTGCGCTCCCACAGCCAGCACTGAACAGACGGCGGCTGCCCTCCCCAAAGCCGGACTGTTGAGCCTCAACATGGGGTGCGCGGTATCTGTGGACCCCCTTACCCCGAAGGCCAGGTAGCAGCCGCAGGAGTTTCTTTCTTGCACCTTGAATAGGTGAAAGCGCGCCCCTGGGATAAGACCCCAGCAGCAAAAGGCTGGTGTTGAAGAGCTGGCCAGAGGAGGTCTTTTGGTCTCAGTACTGCAGATGAAAAGTCTCAGGTGCCCCGGCACACCTTCTTCTCCCCGATCTTGTAGGTCCTCCGCAAGCTGGGTCCAGCCAGCTTCCAGACCCCAAGACACCACATGACTCCACTCCTCCCTGTAGCATCTCTTTCCCAACACCCTCTCATCCTCTGCCTCCCCTTTTCCACTCTTTGGCCCAAGGTAAGGTTCAAGAAACCCAAGGGGGAAATTGCTCTCCCCTTGACTCCCCTCATCCTCCCCAGAGGCTCACTCCCCTCCTGCTTGCTCTGCCAGCCAGAGCCCCAGCCCCTGGGGATTGGTCCAACACGCTGTCGGTCAACAGTCTGGCCTGCTGCACGGAGACACTGACCTCATTCCTTAACCCTTTGAACCCAGACTGACTTTCTCCTCTCCCCCGGCTGGCCAGCCTGGCAGCCAGGGACGCAGGGTCTCTGTAGTCCAGGTTAGAGAGGGGACACCTGACCCTCCTCGCCTGTCTTCCCGCTTGCTCTCACCAGGCAGGGACAGAAGTCTGGCAAGGGAGGAGACACAGGATTAGAGGGAGCAGAGGAGCCTGACCCACGCTGGTCCTGGCTCACAGGCCCCTCTGCATCCCCGCCCCCCCGCCCCCAGCAGAAGGACCCAAGTAGACCGTCAGCTCTTTATTCCACAGTTATTTCCTAAGCAATGACTAGGTGCCAAGCACTGGCATGAAGCCCCAACCCTCTGCCCTCCTTCCCACAGCCCCGTCATTCCCTATGACACAGATAGATATCAGACACCAAACACACACACACACACACACACACACCATGTTCTAAAAGGAGACCTGATTTCTCCGTGTTACCTTGTTCACACTAGGGGTAGGCCAAGCTAGTGTCGAGGTAGACAAGGAGGCTAATGAACTCTACATTCCCACATGGGAACTTGTATGGAAGGTTTCGGTTTTTGGAGGCTGGTCTCCAGAGGTGGGCTACCTGAGTCCAAGGGCCCCCTTGCACCCCTGGGGAGCTGCCCTTCTTGGAGCCTTCGTTGGCCCTTTTCCAAAGAGGGGTGATAATAATAGAACCGACCTCACCAGGACTTGCCATGGGTCAATTCAATTACGTATGTAAGTGCGGAGGACCATGTCTGCCATGTGGTGAGCAGGCAATGCATCGCCGTTGCTAGGCTGCCTGGGAGTGATCCTTATTAAAGGCTTCATCCGGACTCCAAAGCCCTGGGTGGAAAAGCACTTCCCCGATTCCTAGCCACCTTCCTAGACCCCAGACACAGCACCCTCAGAGGATGAGCCCCAGCTGAGCACCACCAAAGCTCTAGGCTGGCCCCCCAACCGTTTCCTGTTCTGAGCAACACTCAGTGTGCAGTGCAGACGTGCACACGCTCATCCCAGGAGTTCACCCCCGCCCCACAGAAGGTAACCAGACGGGGACAGGGACTTGTCCAAAGCCACACAGCAAAGCAATAGTGGAGACAAAATGTGAACCCACACAGAGGCAGTGCCCAAGAAGGCCTTCAGGAATCTCTCTCCGTGCCCTACCCCCCTGGGTGTTTTCTGGACCTCAGAAGTCCTCTGCAGATGCAGTTTTAAACTCACACACACACCCCTCCTTAATCACAAGGGAGCCCTGGTGGGGTAGTGGTTACGCGTTGAGCTGCTAACATAAGGTCAGCAGTTCGAAACCACCGGTTGCTCCCCAGGAGAAAGGCGGGACCTTCTACTCTCGCAAGAATTAGTCTCAGAAGCCCACCGAGGCAGCTCCACTCGCTCTGCAGGAGTCTGCATCGATTGGATGGCAGTGAGTTTGGGTTTGCTTGGTTGTACGCTGACTCTCAGCCCGGGGCTCATCTCCCCAGGGGAATCGGCCCCAACCTGAGGAAGCTGCACTGGCTGGCAGCCCTCCCCTTGCTTTGAACCATCAGCCACAGCCTCAAACAAGCAGAGGACTGTCCCCATCAAGAGTTACAGAGACTTGCCCCAGGTCACACGGGATGACCTGGAGCCAGTCCCCACATACCTTACCCAGAGCCCTTTCACTGCCCAAGAGAAAACCCAGGGGGTGAGGACCCCACTTCTAATTACAGAAGGAAACCAGAGTGGCTACCAGGCCTCCTCTTGGGTTGTGTCACCGGGTGTCAGAAGGTCCGGGAGGTGGCAGAACCAGGCCCCAGTTCCCCAGACTCTTCCAGCCCAGCCCAGCCCAGCTATGGCAGCTCTTGAACCTGCAGGTCCCGGTCAGAACCCCGCCTCCACCACTGCCCGTGAGAACATCACACACTGGTCGCTTGAGCCTCCGTGTCCTCCTCTATACACGGGAGATTAGACGCCCCCTTGGGGGTGTCCTTGTGCGGCGGTTAAGCGGAATAATCACGGACTTAAGTTCCTGACGGACAGCAGGCTGCTCATGAGGGTGACGATCTAGCTGGCTCTTGGGCTGGGAGGCTTGGAGGACTCCTAGCCATTACGATCTCCTAGCAAAGGTCTGGGAATCTTTTTCTCACCTCCCTCCCCCTCGCCCCCCAGCCCCACCCCACCCCCACGCCGAGTCCAAGAAATAGGCTCTTGTGTTTCTCCTCCTCCCAGCCCTCTTGGTTCTGAAAGCATTTCTGTGGAATTCTTCAAAGCTATAGACAGCTACTAAAGAGAGCCGGCCGAGGTTCCTGGGTTGTCCCCAGACTTTAACGCACCCCTGTCCCCCACGTGGAGAACCTTACTGATCCTTCTTTGGCCCGGCAGTCTCCCCCTTGGGGACTTGGGTTTTCTTTGATCCAAACTCACTGCCAAGGAGTGGATGCTGATGCATAGCGACCCCCTAGAGGACAGGGTAGAACTGCCTCACTGCCCTGTGAGTTTCTGAGCTGGTAAACAGTTACAGTAGAAAGGCCCATCAATCGCCCGCAGAGCTACTGGTGGTTTTGAACTGCTGGCCTTGGGGTTAGTCACCCAACACCTAACTACTAAGCCGCCCGGGCTCCTAGTTTGGCTTCTTTAGAGCCAGGTGAGATCTCCCAGACAACAGGGGCTGGTCTAGCCCCATTACTATGCAGATGAGCAGACTGGCCCTGGGAGAGGGGCTGGACGTAGTCCGGAGGGGAGGGGAAGGGAAGGGGCCTGGGGAGGGGGCGGGACGGCGGCGTTGTACAGCAGAATGAGGAGTCTGAAAGAGCAGCGGAGGCTTGGGGCCACTTTCACTGTCCTCCCACCGGCTGAGAGTGAGGGGCAGCGAGGGCCTGGAACATGATTGCCTGACAGTCACACAGTGAGGAAGTGACAGCAGGCCGAGCAGGCCAAGGCCCCAGAAGTAGGTTGGAGCCAGCATGCTCCTTAGCAGCAAAGACGTTGTGTTATGAGGCACAGTCCCTGGAGGAGGAGATTATGCTTGGGAAAGGGCCGGGGGAAGAGAGAAACACGCACTGGGCAGTTTGGACCCAGGGGCTGCAGCAATGGGCTTCAGCATAACACGCTTGTGAGGATGAGTCCTGCTCTTCTGCCGTTCACTGGGCCACTATGAGCCAGCACCCACCCCCACCTAACAATCCCAGCAGGACTGAGGCACTCCTGTTAGGAGCAGGATTAAGGCCAGGGTGGGAGACTGCA